AGAATATCGTCAACATAAACTAGGAGATAGACTTGTGTGTCGCCGTGATGCATTGTGAGTAAAGATTGATCGGCTTGACTGTGCTTGAACCTGAGGCTTAGGAGATAATTAGTAAATGTTGTGTACCATTGCCTCAAGGCGTGTTTGAGGCCACATATCGCTTTACGTAGAAGGCAGACATGGTCGGGTTGCAATGCGTCCTCGAAGCCCTTTGGTTGACGCATGTACACTGTCTCCAAGAGATCGCCGTGAAGAAAAGCGTTGGTAACATGGAGTTGTTGGCCAGGCCATTGGTGATAAAGTGCGATGGCAAAGAGTATTCGTATCGTGGGTATTTTGGCGATCAGACTGAAGGTATCACTGTAATCCAAACGTATTCTTGCCTGTTGCCTTGAGCAACTAATCGAGCCTTGAATTGAGCTATGAATCCATCAGAATTGAGCTTGGTGCGATATGTCCATTTTGAGCCAAGTATTGGTGCAATGGGAGGAAGAGGAACTAATTGCCATGTACCCTATTTTTGGAGGGCGAAGAATTCGTCGGCCATTGTCTTTCTCCAGTTGACAGATTTGTATGCTTCTTTATATGTAGTAGGGTCAGAGATGGATGATGAATTGGAATCTTGTGTGTGATGAAGCAGGTTGAGACGACGAGATGGCTTGAGATGCTCCATTTGTCTTCTGGTTATCATGGGGTGCTTAGCCACTGCATGAGTTGGAGGAACCTAAGAGGTAGAAGTGGCAGATTGGTCAGTGGTGTGAACAGATTGATATGTGTTTGTAGTATCAGAAGGAATGGAAGTGGTCTGAGGTGCTGGAGTCTGTGAAGAGGGGAAGTGTTGAGGGTTGAGACCGGTATGAGCAGCGACGGATTAGTGATAGTTTCAGCTGGAGTGGCAGTAGGTGTTAAATGCATGAATGGAAACGAGGTTTCATTGAATTGAACGTGACGCGATATGGTAATACGATTGGTGGTTTGAGTAAAACACTTGTAGCTTTTTTTGATTCTCCGAATAACCCAAAAATATGCAGGACTCGGATGTGGGTGTTAATTTGTTGCAAGTAGGTGAAGGTTTTAGCGGAAAGCATGCGCATCCGAAGGTCCTAAGATGAGTGTAGGAAGGGGTTATTTTGAATATCAGTTGAATGGGTGATACAAGATGAGTAGTGGCTGACGGGGTCCTATTTATGAGGTAAGTGGCTGTGTTGGATGCTTCAAGCCAAAAAACAGGTGGTAAGTGAGCAGTTTGTAACAGGGTTCGTGTGGTTTCCATTATATGGCGATGCTTCCGCTCGGCGAGCCCGTTCTGCTCCGGAGTATAGGGGCATGAAGTTTGGTGAAGAAAGCCCCTGTTGTGGGTGAACTTCTGAAAATGTTGATTCACATATTCGCCACCGCCGTCGGTGCGAATGGCTTTGAGTTTGCGAGAGGTCTGTCGCTCAATAAATGTGACAAAGTTAATAAAAATATTTGTAACATCTGATTTAAACATTACGAGAAATAACCAAGTATAACGCGAGTAATCATCCACAAATATTAAGTAATATCTAAAACCTTGATGGGAGGGAACCGGAGAGGGTCCCCAAACGTCAGAATGTATGAGCTCTAAAGGAGCTTGTTTACGGTTTTCAGAAATTTCAAAATGTAATTTGTGTCCTTTACATTGTTTGCAAGAATTACAAATAGAAAATATAGATGAGATGTTTAAAGCGGGATTGGTTTTGGAGATGTGCTGTAGAATTTTATGGCTGGAATGACCGAGCCTATTGTGCCAGTGGGAGATGGAGGTTCTTGCCACCGAGAGTCCAGTGTGTTGAGCGGGCGGGTTGTGCGTGGCAAGTCGGTATAAGCCATCTCTACAAGGGCCTTTGAGAAGAATTCTGTTGGTCGTCAAATCCTTAAAAATAAAACCAGTGGAGTCAAATATGATAGAAATATTGTTATCTTTAACAAGATTTGAGACTGAAAGTAAATTATGTGACATAGAAGGAGTATGAAGGAGTTGAGAGAGAAAGAGCTTACGAGAAGGGGTTGGAAGTAGTCCCGTGCCCGAGTGAGCAATGGGTACTGATCTTCCATCCCCTAAGGTAACCTTATCAGTACCATTATAGACGTTTGACGTAGCAAGGTTGTCGGCTGAATTGGTCATGTGCGTGGACGCGCCAGAGTCAAGATACCAATCAACTGAGTTGTTGGTATCAGTATTTGCGATAAGAGCTTGGCTGTTCTTGTTAGAGTTTTACTGCGGGATGTAGTTAGGATTTAGACGATGCCAATAGGCGTCGGCTGAATGGCCTTTCTTTTTGCAAATTTGGCAAGTGACGCTGGAGGATGAGGAGGAGCGGGTTGTCTGAGTTATTTCTGGAGCCGGCCTAGATTGACCGCGACGACCGCGATAATTCGAAGAGTAGAGAGCTGTTTGGGTGTCCATGGTTGTAGGGAACTTCAGAGCGGCGGTTTGAAGGTGGATTTCCTCGCTGATAAGGAGGGCGTAGAGATTGTCGAGGGTAAGAGAGGTTTGCATCGTGCAGATAGATGCTGTAAAGGGCTGATACGAAGGGGGAAGCCCGTTCAAGATGTTGATCATTACATCTTCGGAGTCCACTGTAGATCCCGCCGATGCAATTTGGTCTACGATCTTCTTCATCTCAGTTAGGTACTGAGACATGGAAAGATTTTTCATGGACACGTTGTGGAGCTCATTCTTGAGCTGAATGACTTTAGACCTGTTTGAAGACTGGAAACGAATTTGCAAGGTGCGCCTGATTTCGTTCGTGGAGTCGAGGTGAATCACGTATGGAAGAACCGACGGGGAGATCGTCGAGCACAGGGCAGCGGCTAGGTTTTGGTCGATAACAGACCATTGCGGAGAATCTTGATTTAGATCGGCATTTTCATTTGCCGACGTCTCTGTCATCGGAGCGGATGCCGGTTTAGGATCGAGAAAGATAGCGAATCCATTGGCCTTGAGAATCTTGACAATTTGATTGCTCCACAGAGGGTAGTTATCCGGAGTTAAGGAGTTCGGAACAAGAAATTTGAGATTTGATATTACGAACTTCAGGGACGGAGAAATGAACTGAGCGGGAGGGATTACACCTGAAGTTGCTTCGGTGTGGGAGGAAAAGGAAGCAGGATTCGCCATTGAAGAAGCAGAAGGATCGAACCTTAATCTGATACCATGATGAAATACAAGACCTGATGCTGGAGAATAGGGAAGAATGAGAAAGCAGAAAACAGAATGGAAATCTTGAATTGATTTTCACAGCCTTTACAGATGCATTACAAGCTAATATATAGAGGAGTCCCGTGCTAGGTATACACGTGTACAGTCGTTACAGGACGAAGTTAAAAATGTAAAATGAAATAGAAATTATTGTCCTATTCTAACACGCATAAGAATCACTCTTATGATACAAGAAAACAAACAAACTAAACTCAACTCAAATCTTATTCCAATCCATCATATTACAAGATATTCACCTATATTTATAGACTTCAGGTAGCCGCATAATAGACTACACAAAAGATAGAGTTACACCAATCACTAATAAAAAAATAAAATTCATTTATATGGACGCTCCCGCGTCAAGTTGCTTCATAGTTGGCAAACTCTTTAATTAAAGAACTGCAACACTCTATACAGGTAATATGAAATGAGAATCCTCTACAAACAATAATGTCGTATAAATTAACTTAAATCTTGAATGATGTGATTACTCTATGCAAAAAGTTGAATCATACAAAACAATACAACTCACACAATATTTCAAAAAATTAGTTACTTTATATTTCACAAACGACATCATTGAAATTGATAAATTGGACTTCTAAACTCAATTAAATTGAAAAAAACCTCTAAATTAATATATCAATAATAAATTTCTCGCAACATTTTAATTAAGCCAATCATTATGTTTTTAAACTACTAGCTAGTCGTTACCTTTTTCAACAACTAGCCAGTCGTTACCAACTCAACTGACACTATCCGTCAGGCCCGCTGGACCACACACATAGACCCGATATAGATCCGCTCAACCACGCACACAGACCCAACTAGAACGCAACTTAACCGCTCAACCCGCTCAACCCCGCCCACAATCCTGACCCGATCACCTAACACAGCAAGCAAGTCCACCATAGTGGACCCATGGCCGAACTTTTATTTGATCCGGTCACCTGACGTATCTCTACGTTCGGACGCCAGCGAAATAGTGCCATGCGTTCTCACTATTTACCGCGCGGCACGACAACCCCGACCCGGAACGGAGATGTGATTGCTATGTTCACGTGTTACTAGGTATTGCTCGGTATTTGCTTGGTATTGGTTGTGAATATCAATACCGAGCAATACCGAGAAATACCGAGTAATACCTAGAGCAATACTGAGCAATACACGAACATAACAATCCCGGGTCAAATCGTCGGGCCACACGGTATTGAGTAAGACCACGTGGCGACATGTTATTGACGTTCAAATTTAGAACTACGTCAGGTCACCTGACACATAATAATTGTTCCATGGCTAGGCCATGAAGGAAGTCGTTAACGAAGTTCACGAACGGGATCACTATAATTTTTTTTTTTGGGAGTTTTACATACATACCACTTAATACTATTCTATTTACATATTTAACACCTAAAACTTTAATATTACATAAATACCACCCATAGTTCATTTTCGTACAAAATATGAGTGGTAGAAATGAAATATATGAGTGGTAGGAAAGAAATATAAGTGATATATTTGATATTAAAATAATATAGGGTGGTATGGATGTAATATTAAAGTTTTAGGTGTTAGATATGTAAATAGGATGTTATAAAATGGTATGTATGTAAATTTCCCTTTTTTTTGTTTTGTTTCAGCTTATTAGATTATTTATTTTTTTCCGTTTTACAAATTTGCCCCAAGTTAAATACTACTTAATTGCAAAACAGGCCCTTAGTAAACCGGGATTTACTGCGAAAAAAGTGGTCCGATTTATTCCGCCGTTAGATTTACGCCCAGTCGAAATCCTGCTGAAATCCTGTTGCCAAACAGCCCCGGAGTAACAAAATGCGGTGGGAGGAATTTGCAGCTTTTGCGGGCGATGGAGAAGAGCAATACGAATCTACAATAGATCTAGACCTCTCCCTCTTATCAAAGCCAAAGGTGACCTATCGCGCGTTATCACTCCCTTTCTTAAGTATTTTATTCTTCTTAGCACAGTTTTTGCTTTCTCCGCGATTTTGATTGATTTCAGATGCGTTTGAGTTACTTCACTTTATAAGCTAATCTTTGAAGCAATTATGGGGCTTTGAGCCTTTGGTTCTTATTGCGTAGAGATTGATGGATTTTTTTTTTTTTGCGTCTAGCCCTTGATTTTGTTTCGTGTGCTGGGTTGAGTATTTCTTTCGTAGTTGGATAGCTTTCTGACAAATATTCTTCAAATTGTTGGGGCAGTTGAAAAGAACCGATGGTCGAGGAAAAATGAAAATTTTATCGTTCTATATGCCTCTATTTTTATCTATATCTATTTATATATCTATCCATTTGTGATGATAGGTTAATCTTAAAGCTTATCCATGGGAAATTTTGGGGCAGGGCGGTGTAGGATATTCCTCTTTTTCATAGTCTGTGCTTGTGGCGGCATGCATGGACCTTGGCGAGGTAGAAGTTGGAGGAACGATGATTGCGTGGATGAGAGAGATCGTTGAAGTTGTGATTAAACAATATTGAAAGCGTGGGGAGAGGATAAATAACTGAGAATAAAATAAATGGTTCATTTTCTAGGAATGGATAAATAGCTGATAATGTGATTTTATATAAGTTGATCATATAGTAAACAAAGGAAATGAATGCTATGAAGGAAACATATAACTATTAACAAAACCCCCTTTGAAAAAATTCAGGATCTAAGAATTATTTTGAGCCATAAGGAGCTATCCCTATAATGGAAAGGGTTGCACAATTTTGATGGGGAATTACAACACATGCATATATTGTGTAATTCTGAAGATTGGTCCCATATTTGGACAATATACACTTGCCTAACACTCTTGCTCAAGTTGGTGAGTAAGATATCTTTTGCTCATGGCTTGCCAATAATTTTCCTAAACTGTGTTGTTGAGTCCCTTTTTGAAGGCTTATGCATGCTGATCCCTTTTTAGGCGTATATGGTGTTAAAAAATTGTTTGGATTTACTTTTATCATATGTTTATCTATCCCAACATGCTAAATTCTATATTGTAATATGGGGTTTTATGCAATATTTACCTGTTGGCTTATGATCATAATAAGTTCATCCCATTCGATCTTTAGATATTGAGGGTAAATTTTCAATGATAATGACCCACATATCTTTTTTGTTCCATTGTTCTGAATTTAATTTTTGTATTTGATATTGCTACTATATTTTATTTTTTTAGTTCTCTATGTGACAAGATTGGCTTTAAGAAAGATGCAATATCCAGGTGTAGATCTCTCGTCTAATGGTAGACCTGCATAGTTTGCTTTTATGCAAGTTTCAAGTTCCAAATTTGTGTTTCTTCTAAACAAAGTTTCATTTTCCATACTCTCTGCATAAGTTGTATTTGGCTTTGGTTTTGTAAGGCGAGGAATTCTTTAGCCATAGCCTTTCTCCAACGGTTTTATTTATTCGTTTTTGAAAAGGATGTTGGATCTTGTGGTTGGGATGTTTGATGAAGGAAGTTGAAAATTTGTTTTGGTTTGAGTGATTCAGTTTGTGACCGAGTGATCATGGGATGGTGATGTGGAATGGAGATATGGGGATAGCATATGTGAAGTTTCGGTTGTGTTGAGTTGAGGTAAGGTATTTGTGATTGACTAGAGTTTGTCGTCGATTGGGTTGGAAGGGGATGATAGTGATTCAATAGAGTGAAAGTGGGATGTTGGAAGTATTAATGATGGTTGATGGGTTATATTGGGGGAGGTAGGTTGAGTGGAAGTTATGAGGGAGGTGTAGGAAAAAGTGGATTCATTAAAATAAACATGTCTTGAGATTAAGATTCTGCCGTTTGATGGATTGAGGCATTTGTAGCCTTTGTATTTCTCAGAGCAGCCAATGAATATGCAAGTTGGAGTTCGTGGGGCCAATTTATGTCATTGTTGCGAGGGTCACCATGGGTAACATGCACATCCAAATGTTTTGAGATGAGAGTGTGGTTTTTTGTTTGAATAAGCATTGAAGTGGTGATTTGTTGTGGGTTGTATTGGAGGGCATATGGTTGATGAGGTATGTGGCTTTTAGAAGCGCTTCTTCCCATAAATGACATGGAAGAGATGTTGCGTGGAGAAGGGTTCTTGTGGTTTCAATTAGATGTCTATGTTTGCATTCGACGAGGCTGTTTTTTTCTAGTATGTCGGGGCAGCTTATGTGATGATGGATGCCGTGGGTCTTTAGGATGTTTTGAAAGTTATGATTTGTGTATTCAGTCCCTCTACCTCTTCAAATGCACTTGATTTTGAATGGAATTTGATTTGCTATTAAGGTTTTATAAAATACGACTAAAGTTTTTGAAATTAAAACTAAAATTATTATTAATTTTTTTAATTAAAGAAATGTTTAATAAAATTTTTTAAAAATTATAATCACTTGAAAATTACATTTAATAAATATTTAATTAAAAAATGATCAAAATACCCTTATATTTAACACTATTAACTCCAACATTGAATGTTAGTACAAAAAATGTCCCATTTTAAAGAGTCCAAGGACCAAATTAGTCTCTCAAAAGACTTGGAGACCATTTTGGTTCTTCACAAAGAGTTGAGAGGGATCATTTTGATCCTTTTCTCAAAATATTACTTTGTAATTCATTTTATGGGTGAGTTTTTGAGTGGGCATTAGGCTTGTAAAAAACTTAAGAATATGAAGAACATTCTTTAGAACAACAGTTGACTAATTTCAATGTCTACTAATCGTATTACCATGTTAAGAGAACTATTGACAACATAGATTTTCTATTATTTGGGCAAGGAGTGTGAGCACTCAATTTTGGTGGGGAATGTGTCAAGTGATCTATGGCACCTAAATCTGTTATCTAGGAGTCAGCAATTGCATTATATTTTCTTTTAGTTGATATGAAGAACATACTTATGTAAAAGTACCAAGCAACAATCACCACTAGATTTGATTTTTTTTTACATCTCCAGTTATCCTCTGAGTTTTTCAATCTCTTTTTTTGCTAAATTCTCCCCAATTTGATCTTGCCTAACCTTGTTTAGGTCATCCTAACATGAACCTGACGTTGACTTATTTGTCATCCACCACGGCATCCCAATTCTTTGCTTGTTGTATTGGATTTTCCATTCAATTCCCAACAATTTTTCCTTTGTATTTCTCGATTTTTTGCATAATGCACTATACATTGCTTTTGTTGTATGAATTTGGTGTTTCAGACAACTCTGCTTTCCCCCACTCTTAATGTTTATTGGTTGTTTTATGCTAGTTTTGTTGTTCTTCCCACCATCGATTATAAAAACATAAGCTTCTTGAGCCTGAGACTCAAGTATAACCCCTCTTATGCTCTCTTCTGCTCGAATGACAAAGATAGCACCTCATATTTCCCAATATCTGAATTCTATATCAAATTTCACATTAAATTATGTGCTAAAGCTATATATTCCATCATTCTCAATGAAGTTTTTTCACAATAGCCGCAATCTTACCATGCTTCAATTTGATGGCACGGCAGTGGTCCAATTCTTGCCACATATTCTTCATGAGGTTGACATACTCTGTGATAGAATTATGCCCTTATTTGATAGTGGCGGTCTTCACTTTGATCTCATACACATGGACATTATCCTTTTTTTAATATGTTTGTTTCATGATGTCTCATATATATCTTTTGTAGTGGATAGAAACATGCTTGTGTTACTGACTTATGGAGTCATTGAATTCTGTAGCCCTAATATTATGATGGAATATTTCTCATCCAGGGAATGAAATCCTATTTCTCCTTGCGTTGGACCATTATTATGTGGGAGATTTTATTCTCCTTTCCCTGCAAAAAGTGTGAACTAATTGGAACCACTTTATGAAGTTCTTTTTTTATTCTAAATGCGGCATGGGTATTTTGTAGATTTTTAGATGGGTGAAGATGCATTATTTCTTTAGAGGTTGCTTCTTCAGAAGGGCTAGTTGAGTAGCCATTGTTGTCTTAGATATAAAGGCTGATGGCTTCAATGGAAAGTCGCTCAATAAAAAAGAGAGAGGAAAAACTACCACAATAAATGGCTATTATTGCTTCAGAGGAATGCTATAAGAAGGCTCTTTCATTTGCTCTAGGAAGTCTGCTACTAGAATTAGGGAACATTAAATATTGTAGTTTGGAGATTTGTGGGCGAGGAATTGAGGGTAACTCACTGATGCAGGACTACTTAGATGATGGTGCTTATGGATTCATTTAGGCATTGCACAACTTTTAGATTAGAATAATTTTAGAATAGAATTACTAGCGATTCTCAACGAAGGTTCAAAACAAATAAGGAGATGCTTTGCTTAGGCGAAATTACATGCTCTGAATTTTGAAGCTTTCAAAGTAAATAAGAAAATCAAACAACACAAAATAGTAGGCTTCAAAGTAATCCCTAATCTAACAACGAGAATTAGGATGCATAGAAAGTACGCTCCATTCCTATGATTACTAAGCTTTGAGCAAGAGTAGTGGAAGAGCCCTCCGTGACTGTAATCAAACCAACGAGAATTCAGATTTAAAGAAATAAGATGTAGGTGAAAAGGAAACCTTTGCTAGGGGGACGTGGAGATCCTCCACCCGATGCCTTCAAAATGTTCGTCGATAGCCTCCACCAAGTATATCAATGTGCGCTCCAAGTAATCCTCGACGGTGAAATCAAATCTTGGGTTCACGTCGAAGAATGTAGATTGTAGGATATCTACGTAGCCGTCTTCGTCCCAAGTGATGCCGTAGTCAGTCTCCAGATCCGCCATTCATGGATGAAGGGAAGTAGAATCTCTGTGGTACAAGGTACACCTCTCAACTAGCGGCGACGAATGAACTCCAAGTTTTCCCCTAAAAATCTGAAATTGCCCTTTTCAAAAATCTGAAATAAATCTGGATTTATCTCAAAAATCTGAGAGGAAATCTCAGTTTTGGTGTGGAGGGAAGAAGAACTTGAAGGATTAAGAAGTAAAGAATTAGATTCACTAGAGCACCAATGGTGGAGAGGTAACTTGAGAGATAGAGAGATGTCCAGGGAGGGGCGGCGGGATGCTGAAGAGGGGATTTGGAAATCCGAAATAATTTCCCTGGATGTGGGAAATCAATTGGCTGGTTATGGTAAAGGGGAAATTTGGGTAGGAGGGGATTGGGGGATTTTGAAAAATTTCCTAAGTAAGGTGTTGGAGTTAGGAAATAATTTGAGGGGGAATTAATGGGAGAGGGTATGGGGGCCGGCGGTATGCATGGGTTGGGGTTTGATTGATGAGAGCAATTAAAGGCTTCCTAATTTAGGTTTTAGATTTAGGAAATAGTTAATTTAAATCCTCTTGAATTTAAAATTCAAAATTGGATATAAATCAAATACTTTCCTAAAATAGATTAACTAAATTAGGAAATAATTTAAATTCAAAATTGGTTGAATTCGAATTTCAAATTAATCCCAATTAATTCCTTTCCAAATTAGGAAATAAATTAAAAGGAGACCAAGGGGGGTTGGGGGCCGGCGGATGGGTCCTTGGCCGGCGGCCAATTGGGGACGGGTGGAGGTGGCCGAGGCTATGGGGGATTTTAGTGGAGCTTGGTGTAGGAGGAAGTTGAGGGAAGTTTGGTGGAGGTGGGTGTGACGAAGACGAATGATGGAAGGTGGCGAGGGAATACGAAAATACAAAGAGAAAACCACGAACCCGGCCGTATCCAAGGTTGGTGGGTGATGCGCCAATCTCCCTCTCCAAGGGATCTCTCCAAAGCTCTCCAAGAACTCTCAAATGCTCTCAAGCACAAGTGCAGGAAAAATTCTTAATAATCATTCATTAACAATGAAATAATAATCCAAGGGCTATATATAGCCAAGGACAATGGACTCAAAGAAATAAAGACTCAAATGCCCTTTGGGCTTACATGCGACAACTCCCATAAGAGGGGTACAATGGGAAATAATAACGACACCTAAGCAAATAAGAAAATACATGAATAAAATAAAATACAACCATGACTCAAAAATATAAGGACTCGATCGTGGCTGTAGATTGGCGGCCACGTCTCTGATAAATTTTCCACGCTGATATGATGTCCCCATCACTCACTGGCACATGAATGAGCTTATTAAGTGTGAACAAGATACCAAAATTGAAGCAATGAAGGTGGGAATACCAACTTCGATGAAGATTGTGGTCAAAGAAGGCACTCGCAAAAATGAAGGCTAGAGTGGAGGATAGGAGGATACTCAATGATGAAGGCTATCAACATATAAGAAAAGAGGCTTATAATAGAGAGAGAAAGAGAGTGATAATGTTGGAAGAGAATATTTTTAAGAGAGAGAAGCAGAGAGAGGCTTTTAAGAGAGAGAAATAGGCTTTTCAGATAGAAAAAGTGATTTTTTTTATGAGAGAGAAGTTTCTGAGAGAGAAAGATAGAGAGGTTTTTATGAAAGAGGAAGAGTCTTCTAAAAGTGAGAAAATATGAGAGAATTGCATTGGTTTTACTTGATTCTAATTAGAAGTAACCATCTAAGTATTTACAAGCTGTGCATAGAGAAGATGAAGGAAACAGATACGAGAAACGAAACATTTAACTGTCCATAAAATCCCTCTGACTAATTTTAGGATTCAGGAATTATTTTCAGTTGTTGCCTTAACGAGCCATAGATAGATATGCATTGTTGACTGCGACTTTCAACTTTTGCAGTTATTACTTATTTACTTAGAAGATCCGTTCAATATTGGATAACATATGCATGCCTCCTAAGTCCTATTATCCTGATTGCCATCTTCAGCCTTTCCTAATCATTGGGGGTTGGTTTATGAATTTTTATTTTTGTTAATAAATTGCTAAGTGCTACAAAGGTCTTATATTTATTTTTCAAAGGTTTTTTTAACATCTTCTATTCATATTATTTCAGGTCTATATCTGTTTTTTTCTAATTCTTTCCCACTAACGAGGAAAACCTTAGAAATACACTTTTTGGCCTAAACTCAGAGCAAATTGTTTTTTTCCACCCCAAGATCACTATGATTGGATATTTGGGTGGCCAACTAATGATTATATGTAAACTGGAAAAATGTCATTATCTATTTGAAATGTCTAATTAAGATTTCCGTGCACCTTTTCTCAATCGAGCACCATACATTTTTGTTCCTTTTTGAGTGCATAAAATCTAAACAAAATAGCATGCGTTGAGTCTCTTTATTGATTTCAACTAGTTTTTCAGAAGTTTATAATTAGATTTCTATCTCATTTTACCAAAAAAGTATTAAATCTTACGGTTTTCTTTAAAATTTATTGTTGCATTGCAATATTGAATATCCACATATTGATTTTTTTCCTTCTATGTAATTTTTTTATTTATCCTTTTTTCTTGCTGTAGAATTGTTTGTGGGATTCCCTTATTTTGTTTGCATGAATCCATTAGCACTCCGATGTTAATAATCATCTCCATCATGATTTGCATATAATATTATCCTGTTCGACAGTACTCTCTAAAATATCCAACTTTGATATCTTCTATTGTTTTCCCATAAAATTTGTCGAAAGTTAATGTCTTTTGGCCTCTTTACAAAAATGCCATTTGATTATGTAGTTGTATCTGTTCATCAAATGAAGAGTTTCCAGCTATATCATATTGAGGACTTAATTGGTCATCTCGATGAATCTTTTTTTTTGGTTACTTCTTAAAGTTTTCTTAACTTGTGCATGTTTAGGAGTTTATGTTTACCATAAGCGTGTCTATATTTATTTGTGGTTGATTGTGCCTGTAACTACTTGTGCAGGATTATTACCGAATTCTGGAAGTTAAGTATGATGCTAATGAAGAATGCATCCGGTCCAATTATATCCGCCTTGCCTTGGTTTGTTTTCCTATCAGGCATTTTTTTTGATGTTATGTAGTATGGAAGATAATGTGATCATATCCATAGAGCTTGTCCTATTTCCTTCTCATATACTTGGGAAGCTTTTATAGTGATTGAAAACCACATGTGCAAATGCATAGTCTAGTTTGACGTTTTTTGGCTGTCAATTCACTTGTTTTTTATACGTAGAGTGAGTTTGCGTCACCACAGTTGTCTTGACTGTTTGGCTTGATTGCCTAGAAATGGCACCCAGATAAAAAGAAAGGTGAAGACTGTTCAACGTCAAGGTTTCAAGAGATAAATGAAGCATACAAAGGTGATTCCTAATTCTTTATTGAAGTATTAGTTTTCCCTTACAAAAATCTCACATACTCTATTATCTGTCACAATGCACGCTTGATTGGTCATACATATTTTAGATTGATATTTGTGTAACTAATTTTATTAATGCAATTAACAGTGATACGGTTCTGCCTGAACCGGACAGAACCGCCAAACTGGCCCCGCCTGGGCCGGTTCGCGTATACAGGAGGCAGGCTAAGCCGCCTCCTTCCATGGGGATTGAGGGGCCTACTCTGGGCGGGATTTAGAGAGAGGGAAAGGGGGCGGGCAGCAATTAGAGGAATCCATTTGAATTTGATTTATTCTAGGAAAATTTTTATTGGCTTTGTATTAGGAAGTATGTATTAAAAGGAAGAGGGAGGCTAGGGTAGGGCATGCATGACTATTGTTCTCTTGAAGTTCTCTTTGGTGTCTTGGGCTCTAGGCTTCTCGTCTAGAGATCGGGAGAGAACGATCCTCCTCTCGAATCGAGGATCGATTGTATCTTTGTTTTATTCTTGCTTCGCTTGGATTTCTATAAAATTATCTACTGATTTTTGATTGCTTCCACCCAAATTATTCTATTTTTTTCGCTGATTTTACCGAATATTGTTAGGTTTGCTTGCGAACTCAAGTATTCCCATTAGGGTTACTTACGAACTCAAGTATTTTCTATCAGTATGCACTGTCATTTACATCATTTGTGACTAACCAGACGTTTCATGTACCATTACTAATCTATAACATTTTTCATAAACATCAATACATGTGAAACTAATGTAGAACAAATAAATTAAGATTTGAGATGACAGCATCGCATCTTACAATACCATCTGTGGCATTGGCATGTCATGGTTGTCTTAAATTTATGCGGTTCTGTTATTGTTTGCGTTATGTCTATTTAATAAAATTCTGAAGTAAGCCTTCTCTGAAGACATGCACAGAGAAACTTGAATACATACCTATTAATGTAGAAAGTTTGACTCATTTAAGCCCACTTTGGCAATGATGCTTAGTGCTGTATTTATTATATCATATATCATTCTAGGCTGCCAAATAAAGTGGATGAAGTTGTTTATATAGTTTTTGTTGGAGTTTATGCTTGTTGGTGAAAACTATTGTCACCAAAAATACATATACAATATATTATTAAGTTATAACATGCCTAAAAATTAATAACAAAAGTTGAATAAATTATATATATAATACAAATAAAATTAGTATTTCTCCCTTGTTGAATATTATAAAAATTTGAGCTTTTAACTTTTACCCTAATCTTTCTATTGTCAGTGCAAAAATCATGGCTAGTCTAGTTTAATACAAACAATGATTGCTTCTACTTTTTGAAGAAATGAGTTGTATGCAGGTTGGGTTGAGCTGACTTTCAAGAAATTTGAATTTTTGGGCTTTTATAAAGCTGACGGAAGTTCCTAGGGCTAACCTTTTTTTGGTCAAATGTGCCATAAATTTTCGAATCAATGCTTTTTAGAGTGCAATTCGCAATGAAATGCTGGGAGGTTTTCTTGCTCCAAAACTCCAAGTAAATTGATTTGCCAATTGTGACATTAATGCATTAATTTTTGGAGCCCTATCTTCCCTTATGTTTTAAATTAAAAAATTTTTGGATAAATCTGAAATATACATGGATATTTATTATCCTTGGATTGATTTTTTGCCATATTCTAGCTAAGTTTGAAAATCAATTCCTATCAATTTTTTTATAACAAAATCCTCCATTTCAAATTACTTATAAAGTTATAAAAAAGGGATGAAATCAGAGACTTTATGTGGTTACTCAGTTGATTTCTCTAATGTTTTCTGGAAATAAGTTGTTTGTTAGCTGGAGTTTTGTTTCTGACAGTGGAAGATCTCAAGGCTGGTAGGAGGGGTTTTGGAGATCGTTGGTGGCATGTAGAGACTCTAAAAACAGGGAATTATAGGGAGAAGAGACGAGTTCTCTCCATTGGCATCCATTGGGACTTCTATGAAGTTGTTGACTAATGAGCTTCTAGTTCCCTCAATCTTCCTAGGCAGGTGAGCTTTTGATGTCAGTGGTGGATGTTTGCTATGGATGAGGCTGACCACTTGGAGGTCCTAAGGTGGTTGGTCGCTAGATTCATGATTGATTGACCTCTGCGACTATTTGGCAATTGTTGATGACGACTAATTGATAAAGGGATTTTTTATTATATTAGAAATAATTAAATTCCCCATTTATTTTATTATAACATTGGAGGATTGGGGCTATTGGGTCAACTAGGATAGAGAGAAGGAAAAAAAACAAAATAGAGTCAAGAGACTGGAGAAAATAAGCGGTTGTAGCAGACTAGAATATATGGGCGATAGAGTTAGAAAGTTTTCGTCTCAGCGTTGTACGTATATTCAGTACACAAATAAAAGATTAAAGAACATTAGGATTTTTACACGGAAAACCCTGGAAAGGGAAAAAACCATGGGGCCATGCCCAGTTGAAAGAATTCCGCTAGTGTTTGCTTGAGATACAAGAGACTGACTCATCCTTAAAATTTAGGACGATCAAATTACAACGATTCACTTCCGGATTGAAATCCAGTTTCAAACAAGTTATGTATTCAAGATGAATTTATAATCACTTGAAGATTAAACAGAATTTTGGCATCACTTGGAGATTGGGTAGAGTTCCGGCGTCACTGGAAAGTCGGGCGGAATTACGGCGTCACTTGGAAGTCAGGTAGAATTCCGGCGTTACTTGGAAGTCGGGCGGAATTCTGACGTCTCATGGAAGTTGGGCAGAATTCCGGCTTCTCGTGGAAGTCGAGCAGAATTCCGGCGTCACTTGAATGTCGGACAGAATTCCAGCGGTGGTTGAGGAGTTTCTTCCCTCCTTTCCTTCTCTTCTCTTCTTCTTCTTGCTTGGGTTCCCCTATCAAGAGAAATGATGGGCTATTTATAGTTTTTGAGAATGACATGGCTATTAAATAAGAGGAGGATCGAGGGCAAATGTGGAGTTGTTCGGATGGATGGCCGATATTAAATCCCTTGATCGTAGACTGTTTGTCAGACATTTGAAGGTCTTAACGATATCAGAATTTGGCGATCTTTGGCTCGTTGGATTCGTCTCATTGAGCCGATCGATTTGACTATAAGCATGTCATGTTTGGAATCGTTTGGTAATCCAAAATTGTGGTTTGAATCTTCTAATAGCGCTTCAAGTATTTAATTTAGAGTTTAGACTCATTTGTGATTGAGTTGAATTTGTTGTTGTTAGGTTCATATTTTCGAGATGCTCAGTTCGACTGTAAGTTTGCTGAAATCGGAGTTCAGATGATCTAGGATTTAATTTTTCAAGTTTCCGGCTTGATTTTGCCTCAAGATTCGTGCCCGTTCAAGATAATTTTTTTATGATATATCAGTTGCCCACCTATTTTCGGACGTCGAAGCTCCAGGAGTCCGAAAATATGCGTCACAAACTTTATAGAATTTTCTATGTGATTTGAAAACCGATCTTGCGAGTAGGAGTCTCAAATGTCTTTAAAAATGCCGAAATTAAGTCCGGAACGTCAAAAAACGGTCATGGGGACCCAAAAACGTTCGATTTGGCCTGTCCGGGCCAAAAATCTGACCCGGACTCGTGTAGGCATCCGAACCGGCCGTCGGCCTGGCTAGCGCCGCCGGCCTGCCCGCTGCCTTGCTTGGCCCGCTCGGCCCTCCCGCTGCCCAAGCCTGCGACCCGCGTCTAGCCCTCCCTCGGCCCGGCCAGCTTGCGCGGTGCCACGCGCCGTTTGGCGACTGGGCGCTAATTCGGGCCAGTCGGCGGCGGTTCGAGGTACCGCCAACCCATTTTGTTTTATTTTTTTTTTCTTTATCGAAAAAAATCCCAAAAAATTTCAAAAAAATTCAAAAAAATTCGAAAAAATTCCAGAAAATTTTGGAAACTTCTTTCTTCCCCAAAAAACGCTATAAATACCTCCCAGGGCCAGGGTGAAACTTGCACTTTCTTCTTTTCTTCCTCTGACTTTCTTACAGCCGATGTATTTCTTTGTTTTTTAGTAGGTACTTTCCCTACTTAACTCAGCGTCCATCCTCCTGTACAGAAGTTAGAATTTTCACAGTCTTTCTCCTTCTTTCTCCGCCGTTTTTCTTCGTGCTTAAGAGGCTTTTCGCTGGTTTTTGTTGGTGACTTTCCCTACTTTAATTCAACGCTCATCCTTTTGTACAGAAGTTGAAATTTTCCAAGTCTTTCTTCTTCTTTGTCCCCCGTTTCTCTTCCTGCTTAAGAGGCTTTCCATTGTTTTTAATAGGTGATTTTTCCTACTTTAATTCAATGCTCCTCTTTAGTGTAGAAATTGAAATGGGTGATCACACATCCATAAGAATTCCCCCAGCCAAAGAAGATCTTCCTGTTGACTGATCTGAGGGTTTTAAAAAGACTCACAAGGCGGCCAAGACCGTGATGTTATCTCCACCATAACTGGCGACTCTTTCATTGCTTTTAGGAAAAAAATTCATTTTCTTAATTATCTTGTGATGAAGGTACCAACAAGGTCCGATCGTGCTCGTTTTTCTCCTCCAGGATATGTGACAGTGTATGAATTTAGTTTGCGAGGGGGCTACGGTTTCCACTATCTTCTGAGTTGATTGATATTTTGACGATTTGTGGAGTGAGTTTGTCCCAACTTTCTTACAGGGTCATGTCGATCATAATTGGACTGGCCGTATTTTTTAGAGACTGTGTAGTAGTGTTATGGATTTTCCACTAAGATGATTATGTCATAATAACAAATTCAGAGATCGTGGAGTGGTGTTATGATTCTAAGATGTAATAATCAAGTTCTCATCTATATTGCCTGCAATCTAGTCTTCCACTAAGGTGCTAAATCTATTTAAGGATGTTAAGTTAAAAGAAGATAATCACTTCTTATAAGGTGTTAAGAATTGTGGTAATTGTCTTATGATTCATAAAATAAAGTTGTTGGAGAGGGCAGACTTGACATTGACCAAGGAAAAAAAAATACTTTGTTCAAGAATTAATTTGCTATTGTTGTGATTTTTTGTTATAAAAATATAATGGAAAAATATAAAGAGAAATATAAAGATTTTATAATTTTTATTGATCTTGAAAAGACATGATGGAGTTCTGAGAGAATTAATTTGATGGGTATTAATGAATATGCATGCATCGAACATATGTTGTTATTCAAGCAATATATGTAGTGATGAGATGAGAAATTTTGAAATTAGCTGCGAAGTGGTTAGAGAGTACTTTAGAATATTTTACATAAAAGTTTAAGTTAGAGTCCTTTTTATGGTTGATGTTTACTAAAGATATTTAGGATGATGTATTATGGTGCATGATATTTATGCTATATATATTTTTGATTAGTGAGATGACCTTTTCTAAAGTAAGCGAAATATTAAATGATAGAGGAAATTCTTTGAAGATGTGGGGCTTTGAATTAGTAGTTTTGAGATTGAGTAGATTAGATGCAATTTTGGTAGATATGCCATTAATGATTTTCAATCAATAATATTGTGACATAAAGTGATATCTAAGTGTCATGTCATGATTATTCGATAAGTTTTATGTTGATTGTCTACTACCTAACATAACCATCCATTTTTTCATCCAAGGCTTAAGATATGACAACGACAATGTTAACATGATATCTAAGTGTGATGGGTTTTATTATTTTGAATTTGTTACACATAAAATTGTTATAGTTGATGACATAACTTTATAATTGAAATTATGTTGGAAAGAATTGATATATGTTTCCTATGTTGATAAGAGAATTTTTAGAAGACATGAAGGTGAATTTTTTTAGAATTGAGACTAGATTGACAATATTTTGTGAATTGGAGTGTTGGGTAAGAAACTAAGTAACAAATTAAGTGATGAAAATGTTAAAATGAATATGGGATAAAATTAGGAATGTAATGAGAAATGTTATTTTTAAGAGAAATTGAGATTTATCCTTAATGTTGCGAACAAAATTTGACTTATACAACATAGGGCAGACAATGTTTCGGTAGAGGATAAAATGAATTTTGCAGTGGTACGGAAATTGGGCTAGATCTTAGGTAATGGGGCTAGAAGTAGTGTGAAATGATTTGCTACAAGTTTGCAATATGATGTTGGTAAATTAGACCAAACAATTAATGCCATTGTACAAGAATAAGTATAGAAAAATATTCATAATGTTACCCACAAATAGATGGGATGTAGTAATATGACTAATGATGATGATTATGACTACATTTTTTCAAAAAAATTGTATGTTATAAATTTATATCTAAATTAAACAAAAAGTAATAATGAAAACATTACTTTATAAATTATTGAATGATATATTTAAGAAAAAAAATATTTTGAAACAGCATATCGAACATGAAATAATGTGTATTATATATTCTTAAAGAAGTTCAAATTTTTTTGACTCTAGAAGATGCATGAGGGCAATATTTTCGATTTTGATGAGATACTGAAATTTAGAGGGTTATGGAGGATATGTCGTTATTTGTTTAATAATAAATTGTAATCAAAATTTGATCTTATTAGATGTTAGTAATTATCATTTAATCTTATTAGAAGATGAGGTGATACCTATGTATAATAGTTTTATGAATCATAGATGAATAATACTAAAGTTTGAAGAGATATATATATATATATATATATATTAGATTCTATTATTAATTACATTATTTTTTAATTTAAAATTTCAGATTTGATGGGACATTTTTGTTTATACTAATTTTATCATAGTTTTACAAATTTCTGTCTGACAACAAAAAAAATTAAACAAACTTGCTATATGTTAATAATACTTATTAACATATATCTACAAGAAGTTTATCCCATTTATGACTTATTAACATATATCTACCATAATAGTGTTATTGATGCTACTGAATTGGACGATTTGAACATTTTTTTTGTTTTATTTTTTGACAGTAATTGAACTTTGATTTGATTAGTTCATTGTCCTTCCAAAATAATTTCTACAAGTTAAAGAGAGCATTTGATAGGGTTGCACCAGAATGCTTGCAAAAATGCTTTGATGAAGTTGGGAAATGAGGAGGGGGGAGAAAGAAGAAGGCTTGAGCAAAAAATGGACAATGTGTACGTGAATGGTTTTGCAGACAACTTAGGATGAGAAAAGAAGCCACACTAAGCATCATAATTTTCATTCCAAAATATCATGACATTGTAATAGATGATCCTTAAAGCTAATGCAATGTAATTTATAATCATTAAAGATAAGATAATATAATCCAAAAATATTCTAAAATGACAATAATTAATATGATATATAACTAAAATACAACTAAAAGTGTTATGACATGAATTGTAGCATATAATTCGTGATGGTACATCATCATTTCCCAAGGTGCAGAGAACTTTATTCTAGAGGGTTTGAATGCCGTTGGAGGAAGAAGTGGATGGTCTTTTTTAGTATGTGAAGTCTATCCCGTTGGATATCCATTAAGGGGTGAATGGAAGAAGCAACCATATCACCGTCACGTGGAGAGAAACTTAAAGATAATGAATGGGACAAACAACACCATACACAGTACAATATTAAAAGAGTTTCGTCATTGTTCCTCTTGAATTATGTAATCAAATTTGAAAAGGGTCCTTTATTGCAGAAGTGCTGAAGTAGATTATACTAATTGGTGGAAATCTTGTTCTTGATGTAGAAGTTGATAAGTTGATAAGATTGAGATGATTCATGCATCCTTTTTTTGTGTTTTTCATCATCGTGGCTCGCTCAAGACTTGGATAATGTGGGTTGGGTGAGGTTTAGTTGTTCCGCTTTCTTTAGTGGACTGGAAATTGTTGAGATTAGGAACAATATTTAGAGGCTTGTTAAAGAGCTGGGGATTTAATTTGGAGGAGAAATTTTGGAGATTTTTTTAGAAGGGACGGGGCTATGAAGAAAGAAATGAAAAGGAAGAGTAAGAGCCAAAACACTCTTTTTTGGTTTTCTATAACCTGGGCAAACAAATTTAGTACATTTATCCAAATTATAGTCTTTTAAGTGTTCTTAATTCTCCATTTGGTGTCATCTCGTTATTGATTGGAGGCTGTCTTCCTCTCAATGGTTTTAGGTACAATAGCCATGATATTAAGGCTTCATTTGGTAAGTTCCAGTGATATAGGGCCATTTATGGTCAGAAAACATGTGGTTTGATGTATGTTCATATGTTCCAAGACGCATTTCCCTTGCAAGGTCAAACAGCAGTCGTAATTGAAGAAAGCCTAGTGTTTGAATAGTTACTTGTTTCATATGTAAGAACTTTCTTATGGAAATGGTGCTAAGGGAAATTCTTGAGTTCGCAAGCAAACCTATCACTAATTGGTGAAAACAGCGAGAATAATGCGAAATGTGGGTGAAAATCAGCACCAAAACAAAGGATTGCAATAAGAAACTCAAAGCCAACAAGCACAAAAATAAGATACTAGTGATCCTCAATTCGAGAGGAGTATCGTCTCTCCCAAATCTCTAGACAAGGTAGTCTACAGCCCAAGATGCCAATGAACCACAATAGAAATCAAATCAAGCATAACCTAAAACATCTCATGATATTTAATACATAAACTTTCCTAAACAAATTTTCTTCCCAAGCCCTAGCCGCCCCCTCCTTTTCAAATTTGAATTTAATTGGACTAGTGGGGCCCACTATAGTGGGTGGCATCCATGGGGGAGGCATGACTAGCCCGCCTCCTATAAACACGAACCGGCCCTGGACGGGCCGGTTGGGCCGGTTTAGGATGAACCGGCCTATCATATTGTTTCTTCATAAGTATTGTATCGGAGTTTAACTGGTGAGTATTAATTTATTCTGTCAGATTAATATTTCTAAATTGGTTAACTTGCATTATATGATTAATTGAGGCCTTATGCAGAAATTCATTTCTTTCCCTCATATTGCCACTTTCACTCCTGATCAAATATAATATTTTGTCATGTTCTTGTATCATGTTTTTCTATTTAGACTTCATTTGAGATGGCTTTTTTGTTGCTTCTTAAAACAACTTTTTAGTACAAAAATTAAAATTCTTATACTAGAAAGTTGTTTTAAGAAGCAACAAGAAAGCCATCCCAAACGAAGCATTAATCATTTTCTCTTAATATGACCGTGTTAACAATCCCACTATGCTCGTGCACTTCATTAGATTTCTGCTCATGTATCTGACTCGGGTCTTGTGCATTCCATCAATAGTTTTAAGTGATCCTGCCAAAAGAAGAGCTTATGACAGGGAAATACTTCCTCAAATCCAAGATTACAATTTCATTGTAAGTCTTCACTCATCCTTCCTCTCTGCTGCTTGTGGCAAAGCTTTTTGAATAAACTCTCCTTCTGTTTACCAATAGGAAAATTTGAGCTACTATAGAAATACTCCTGATTTACATGTTTAAGTACTTAAGAAACTTCAAACGAGATATTTTGATGCTTTTTTGCTAATGTAAATTTATCTGTTTGGGGCATTAATTTGATTTGCAGGATTACCTTAACCGACACAAGGGCTTGATATTGACATGTAATGGACTTGGAATCAGATAATTTGGCAATGGAGACCATGCTTGTAATTAGTTTTCCAATGGATCTCTTGGTTGCGTTGCATCTAGGATTTCTTGATTTGTGCTTTAATGGTGCATTGTATACTGTAAGGTTAAGAAGATCAAAATTTCATGGTTCATTTCGATTTTTCATCTGGGACTAAAAATTGACAAAACCCCCAGATATTTTTGTCACATACATGAGCATTGTAATTAAGATAGATATAAAATTTAACTGGATTTGTACTGCTTTTTATCTGTGTTGCCAAAAGTATTTGGTACAAAAATATTGTACTGTTTTTTTGTTGCTTTCTAAATTGATTTTTTTAGTACAAAAATTTTATGAATTAGAAAATTTTGTATTAGAAAGTTATTTTAGAAAGCATCGAAAAAGCTGTTCCAAACGAATTCTAAATTCTATGATGAAAGTTGGAAGTCTTCATTTGATGCCTTATAGTTGCCTTCAACTGATTATTTGTGATCTATTTGCTTGTTCTCCTTTGAAGAGAGAATATCATAAATAAGTAGTATAAATGTTGGTTTTGAGTTTGGGAGTTGGGAGCTAGTGTTGCTGATCAATATTGACCTAATTTGTAATGAAATGCATTGACATTGTTATTGATGACGGGTGATAAAGTTGGTGGATGTTTGTGTTTATATCAAGTGACGGTAGTCATGCGACAATGGTTAAGAGACTGTAATTAATCGATGATGGTAAGAAGATCATATTCACACAATAGTAATTGAGAGATTGTAATCGGACGATGATGCTCAAGAGATTATAGTTGAGCTATGGTGGTTGAAAGACGATTGTTTGATGTCAATAGCGACATTTAAACAACTGTAGTTTGATGGCAACAGTTGGACGATAAGATTTTGATGATAGTTGTTAGGTAGAGCTCTATGCAATCTTTGAGCTTTCTTCTCATCTTCCTTTTCATGCAGAAAATGTAGATTATTTTATAATTTTATTGAGTGACATTTTAGCATATTTAGCAAAAATTCTTAAAGCACTCCATCAAATTATGGACAATTCTTTTATCATGGAAGTATTTTAATGAACTCATAATTGAGTGATGCTAGGCTTGTTACATTCTTATCATCGATAAGCTCAATTATCTTAAAAGCATGCAAGAATTAGATATCATTTTGTCCTACAATACTTCAAATGCTCGCTATGAGCTTATTTGGATTTAGATCATATCAATTTTTTTATCATCAAGATGTTTGATTTGATTATAAATTTGATGAAATCGAAGTTTTGATAATTTTGAATTTATTTTTGAAAGCTTTTAATTACTAATATTTATAATTGATCAAATTATTTTTTTATCAATATGTATCGTTAGGAAAATTATGTAAAAATCAGGAATAATCGGGAAAATTCTAGAAGATTTGTATCATTGAGGATAAAAAAGCGAATGAGATTTTATGATAAAAAATAACCTATATAAAAAAAAATTTCATGAACTTGACAAAATATTTAAATTTATTGAACGTGAAACTGTGAAGAATATATAATAAAAAGTTAAAAACCGAAATATGTAACAACTCGCAAATTTGGATCCACCTATTTCTTGCGTTTTCAATTTGAAGACGGCCGTCTTAACCGGTTCGGTTCGGTTTACCATAAACTCCGGATAGCGGGATTCCTATTTATGGATTGCATCGGCGTACAATGCCTTTATTTCACCCGGCCGGCTCTCGCCTCTCGAGTCTCCACCTGCACCAGTCTAGGTTTTCCTTCTCGTCCTCCGCTGCCCTCTCGACTTCGCTCGCTCTGCAATTTTTTTGGATGGTGGGAGATTCTCTGAAGCCATTCCCCTTCTCTCCATCGAAGAAGAGGGACTCAGGCGCCGTATCGATCATTGCTTTCGTCTTTGCCGCCGCCTCCGCTTCTCCTTTCTCCTACTGCATGCAGGGCTGGCACTATCGCTGCCTTGGCCTTGACCCTTAGGTTCGCCTTCTGAATCTCTTCGCATACCTGCTGTTTTTCTTTTTCTAGCAACCGCAGAACGCGCGAGCGCGATGGCGTTGCCCTGGAAGGGAATCGAGAAGGATGATAAGCAGGGGAAGAAAAATAATGGAAAGAAGGGAGAGACCAATCGGATCCTTATTACGGTAACTGTGATCGGTAGCGCTGGTCCGATCCGCTTTGTGGTGAGGGAGGAGGAACTCGTCTCTTCCGTTATGGGTACCGCGCTCAAGACTTATGCGCGTGAGGGCCGCCGCCCCATTCTCGGTTCAGATCTTGATTACTTTGTACTTTACCACGCCTACGACGGATCATGCCGTAAGATCTCTGTCTCTCCTAGATGTTTTAGATTTCGTTGATTTGCAATCTTTCTTTTAGGGTTTTTGATAGTCTGGTATTGTGTTGTAGCTCTGAGCCCTTGGGATCCGATCGGCTCCTTTGGGAGTAGGAATTTCTTGCTGTGCAAAAAACAGATGTTGGACGGTCAGAGATCTGCGACTCCTGCGAAGGAGATTGGAAAGAAAGGCACGGGTGGATGGAAGGCCTGGTTCAATAAGTCTCTCGGTTTGATCTCTTCTGCATGAGCAATTCCTTATCTGAAGATCAGTTACCCGGGCCTGATTGATTCCGCTTTTGTCTTCTAAAGTGGCAGCCCAGCAGTCAGTTTACTTTTCTTTACGATTTTGTGGATGTCAATTGCAAAGACTGCGCCTTTATGCTTTCCTTTAACTTTAGCTGATAGTTTTCAATTGCTTTTTTAATAATATTGATGGCCATTAAGACGTTATCGGCTATTATTTGTCAGTTTCAAAACTGTGAAAACTTTGATATCTGTTTGAATTATATTTGTTTTACAGAATTGTGCGGTTTTTGTTGCAATCCGTGGCAAGATGTTGATTAGTTCTATAATAAATTGTGATTGCATGCGCTTCATTGTGTAGATACAAAGCTAGAACTTACTTTCAGATGGATCGTGATGTGCTATGAAGTTTGTTATTTTTTATACACTTGAGAATCTTGTTGGTGTTGAAGGGCTCTTACTGTACCTGATAACTTCATCTGATTTCGTAACCAATATTTCTTGTGGAGATGAAGATCTCTAACTCTTCATTGTTTTCTAACTGTTATTGTGATTATACGCATGATTACCAAGAGTTATACCTAATGTCTTTTGTTGTTTTCACGAATCCTTTGATCTCTGCAATTTCATTAGACTAAATCACTAAATTGTAAATGTTTTATATTTAAAAGTTCATTTTGAATAACTTTTAGGGGCAGTTTGATAGCACCCAGGATTTGATTTAAAGTAGGATTTTGTAAATACTCTAAATCTGTATTTCGAAAATCTTGAGGGGCCTAAATCATCAAAACTGTTTTGGAACATTTATGATAAATCATATTAAATCTCGTGTGAGTGGTTGACTGTAGAGCGGATTTAACGAGCGGATTCTTCCTCTCGAGTCAATGAATTTTGTAAATCCTGCAAAAAATAGGATTTCAGAAATCTGGGATTTAGCATGAAAAGATGAATTTTTGTCTACTGTGGCTTTCATTTGCCGTGAGATTTGGTTTTGCATTTTAGGCCGTTTGGCTGGATTTAAATCTTGCTACCAAACAGCCCCTTAACAATATTCATATTTCCTTTAGGTAATCCTTTTTGTTTAAAATTTTATTCTTGGTCTGATTTGATTCATGCGCATATCTACTTTTACAAAATTTTCAAATTTTTGGGTATGCACTTATCATTTTCAAGGGTTAAGATTCTCTACAATTACGGTGATAATTACGTGGTCCCTGCCATGAGCTCTTGCGATTTAATTCCAGAAAAAATTGTGTCAGGATTATATATTGTGTTGAATTTAAGAGCTCTTATATTTACTTATTGATGAAATATAAATTCCTTATATAACTCATTAATTTTAAAATAAATTTATTAAATTCATTTGATACAATTTGAATTAACAATTCATCAAAATTAGAGTTTTTTTGGAAACAAATTTAATTTAAATTCTACTTGCTTAATGTTGTTGGGAAATAAAGTAAATTTATGTAAATTTATAAAAAAAAACATATAAAAAGATTTCTACATATGCAGTTGGTTAATTTGTCATTGCTTCATGTTTTATTACGAATTTTTACGGAAAATTACAATATGTATTCCTCGCACAATCCACTCTCTATAAAGAAAAAAATTTGGACTTAGAAAGAATACAATAAAGCTCCTAAATTAATGCACGATTAATTTACCTAATACAGTTTTTTATAGAATAAAAAATTAGTTCTACAATTTAACAGTATGCGGTGGAGGAAGGATTTGCAAATCACAAGTTACAAGTTCTATCTAAGAATATTTTTCTTTGGCCTGCCGCTTTCAATTCTTCATATGCTTAGCTCACCTACATTTGGTCAAATTGTTTTGCAGATCAGAAAAATTGTTCAATTTTGTTCGGTTGTTGGTCTTGACTTGATTTATTTAGCCATTGAAAGGTCTTTTGTTCTATCTGCCTCAGATGCATGACTTTCACATTGTTAAATAATTGTTAAGTATTTTCCAAAGTTCTGATTCAGTCCGTCTACCCTACTTAAAAAAGTTTTTTTAGCTTTTATCCAAATCCATTTCAGCCTTTGGGGCAAGGCCATATAAATAAAATTGTAAATTTTGGTCTTTTTTTTTTTAAGATTTATGTTATCATTATTCGATAAGTTTTACTCTAAATGTCGACTACCTACTACAACCCTTCATTTTTCTTATTTAGGACTTGAGACCTGACAACGACACAATGAAGACAAAAGATTCATGTAGTCAACCCCGTGTAGTGAAACAAAGACTAGATGTTGTTGTTGTTGTAAATTTTGGTGCTTTGAATGAGCCACAAATGCATAGCGTGAGCCCACAAGGATACTTCATTTCCTATTTAGCCAGTATTTATTATGCAAATTGGCCCTTAATAAGCTCATAATTGCAGCCTCTAGTTTCTAAATATTTCACTATGTACATTATCGTTTTCTGTACGTGGTTAACACATGCTTTATTAGCTCAACAATTTTAATTTCAAAAAGCTTTATAATAAGTGATCAATGTTTCCTTCAACGATTCTTTGAATTATTTCTTTATTATTATTTTTGCACATTTATTGACTTTATTTATAGCTTGTGTCCGATCCACTTGCCTGTTTCTTTTTATTTCTTTTTGGCTTTATATAATATGTTAAGCGGCCATACTGGATCATCGTTGGTTTTATGTCAACTATTTGAGTCGATTTTCTACTTGTCTGATTCAAGCAGGCTAGAAAAATAGGTTATCTTGGTGCTCTGATGTCACACTGATATTTATTTATTTATTTTATAAACAGGAAATAGAGGGGAGGAGAAAAACATTTTTTCTTAGAGATGTTTGTTAAAATAAATGTAACATAAATATTACGTTGCCTGAGATAGATATAAGAATATCAAGGGGTTGTGGTGGTGGCCGGTGGCAGGGTGCAGTGGTGGTGGTCAGAGGTGGGTAGAGGATGCCGGCGGTGATAACTTGAGACAGTTAAGCAAGTTTGTTTGCGCATGTAAATCATTTTCGCTTAAAATTGGGCTAGCTTGATTTACCTAAAAAATGAATTAGAATGGTTTATATTTACTTATTTTGCATTGCTTTTTCATTCAACCAAACGTCAAAATTTTCAAAACCTATGCAATTGAAATACTTTATACTTATTTGAAATCCAACCAAAGTGTTCCTAAATATTATTTCATTATTTTGTAAGGATATGAATGATTACTCAAAATGATTTATCTGATGATGTTCTGAAGATTTTTTTTTAATCTTTAGATTACTATTACAATTAGAGAAAATAAAGTGGTTAATTTTGGTTTTTTTTTTGGATCATCTCTCCTTTTATCATGATATTTGGAGTGAGTATATATATATCACTTATGACTTGTGCAAGCATATTGTCAAGCTGCATTAGTCTATAATAACTTGTTGGAATTGCTGTTGTACTCTATTCATTACGTGTATCCTAATCAGTACGGTCCATATATCCACTGATAAAACCCTTTTTCCTAATCAATTAACACACAAACTCGACATACTTTAAGAAAATCAATCAATCAAATGCATAGATGAAAAATCGATACTACTCAACTTCTACCCTACTCATAATTAGTTTCTATAGCTCTAGTTACAATTCATTCTTCCAATAACTACTCAGATACAAAAAGATGAATTGATACAATTGATTTTTAGGATCTGAAAAAGGGAAGAAACTTGTTGATTAGCAATTAGCAGTTCATGATCACATCTGAGTTTATAGGTAATTTTTTGTTTTGATTTTTGTACAATCATGACTAATTTCTTTTCAATTTTGTAGCTATAGTTCGTATTCATGCATTGTAGTATAGAAACATATATTTTGATGAAATGAAAGCAATATTGTGGATGAGTTTATTTACAATACTTTGAATATTTTTAATAGCTTTGTAGTTTGTAATCTATTAAAATAAATATTGGAAGAGAATCTGAATGTTCCAAAACTAGATAAATCACAACTCAACTCGATATGATTTATGCTAGTCGAGTTAGGTTGTGACGGGTCTGAGGTTTGGTTGTATTAAGTGAGTTATCCCTCTCTTTATTAGTTAGGTCAACTGTAATGTTTTATGAATTTCCTAAAACATTCGAATTCTTAAATGACAGAAGTAGTTTTGCTTCAATTTGCATCTTCTTTGAATTGCATATCTAAATGCTATGTTGCACCGATATGGATACGGCGACACGGATACGACACGATACGGATACGGGACACGTCAATTCTTAATAATACAGGATACGGGTACGACGTGGACACGGCATCATAATTTATAGATCATACATAAAAATTAAGAAAGCAATCAAAACATAATATTTGAAATTATAAAAAAAAATGACACAACATCATTTGTAGCCTTGTAGCTTATAATATCAAAATATAAGCATTAAATGTCTAGTGCAACAACAAAAGCATAAATATAAATTGTCTAGCACATAAAGTTTCAACTATTCAATAGAGGAATGAAATGATTAGCTTCTTCAGTGGTTTATCTTTGAATTTCTATATCATCTTCAATAAATATCATAGCTTTTAATTCAGGCTCATCAAGTGAAAGATTAGTAATTTCTAATATTCTCATATCATCAAGAGACTCAAATCCATCTCAGAAATGAGAGAACTTTACTCGCAGCCGTGGAAGTAAATATGACGCATCTTCTTCTTTTTTTTTCGGATTTCTTTTTGTTTTTCAACGGACACGTGTATCGGATACGCGTGTCCTTTTAAAAATAAATACTATTTTAATTGGATACGTCTTTGGCGTATCCGACACATATCAGTGGAGTATCGGAGGCGTATCCGTGTATCGGTGTATCGGATACAACACGCCTTCATAAATAGGTGTATCGATGCAACATAGTCTAAATGTATTGTATTTTCAGGGACAACCTTAAAAATATCCTCAAAGGAATTTGTAGTCTCTTAGATTTCATGAGGCACACATGCTCAAATGCTCAATATCAAGAATAATCTTTTTGCCCCTTTTTATTTTGTTATTATTTTAAATTATTTTTTATTTATTTATTTTTATTCTTTATTATTATTATTATTATATTTTTAATTAATTATTTAGGGTCTTTTGTCATTAAAAAATCCAACAACTTAGCTCCCGGCATCCTCTTCCCGTGAAGGGAGGTTGGGAGACACTTGACTTTGGTACTTCACGGCCGGATATAAGATACAATAGTGATATTAGATATTACAGTTTTACTTCTTGCCACTTCGCAAAATATTATTTGTTTGTAAATCTATAAAGTAGTCTGTACTCTGTATTGAAAGCAAGCAGTAAATTTCCCTTT